TCTTTCAGAGATAAATCAAAAGGAAAGGAAAAGAAAAAAACTCTAGTAGAAATACCTATCCAGATTAACTTGCAGTGCAAGCAAAAAGGTTTTACCATGTTAGCTATATCAACATTTAAACAGAAATATTTACCAAGAACAGGAGGATTCAAAAGCACATTCTTGGTTTACCTTGTTAATTCTTTGCCTTTCTGTTTCCTAACTTTCTACGATCTGCAACTCTGTCGTCTCCCAGCAAACCCACATTACCACAGACTGGGCTGGCTGATTATTAGGTACACTTGGTCTCCCAGCCTGGTGGAGCCGAACTACTTAGCAGAATACTTTGCTCATCTGTAAAACAGCATCCCTTTTACACAGATTATGCTTTATTCAAGATATTTACATGGGAAATAGCAGTATTTCACAAGACCAGAGAACAGTCTGCAACTTTCCACCTCCAAGCTCTTTCTTGCTTTAAGAAACTGGTGTCTGCCCACAAGGGAGAGGGGTCCTGATCTCTCAGAAGTTTGCACTAAGAGGGGTAGGAAGGTAAGCACCAAAAGCAAGGTTTCATCTACAACAAATTTCTGGCCAAAGGAGTCAGCTGTAAGAACCATTACTATGACTAACAGCTGTGGATATCCAAGCAGCAAGAAAGAAACTCTCGGCACGTGGTCTGATCACTCCCAATAACCAAGTTGCTTCATGTGCAACTGTTCAGAAGGAGAGAAATGGTGCAATCGGGACTACAGGCTCTTCCCAATGATGTCCTGGAATATCAAACAGCTCAAGATGACCAGCCACAACCCAGGCACGCAGGCACTACGCTCATCAAAATGCTATCTGGAGAAAAAACTGCTTACTTATTAAATAATCAGAGTTTATATTGATACAGAGGAAGGCAGACATATATCTAGCTTTGTGTGTGGATGGAAATGCATCTTGGTAAAGAAACTCCATCAAGTCTGTGTGCTCAGTGCACTTCTCTGTGATAGGGCCCTACACTGCACAGCAGCTCACTTCGGTTTTGTTGATTTATTATGGAGCACGAACCAACAACCAGAAACTGTTTTCTCCAAATGCTTGCCAAAAGCTGAAACAACACAAGAAAGAGTTTTGCAGGTGAAAGTACCAAAATTTGTGTACCCGCAGGTGCAGAACTGATTAAAAGGCATGCATAAAGGGAGGTAATTTCTAAGCAGGTGTTTGTACTTACAAAATACAAATTAAGATATATACATACTTTATTGAAGTTTCTATAAATGGAGTTAATCTAGAGATATGTCTAAATATGTACCCACTTTAATTTTAGATTAATGAACAAGTTTGTTAATGATTTTTTTAATGCAACTTTTATTTTAGAAAGTGCTAAACAGTGTTATAGAGGAGAAACGTGCAAGTACCAGAGACAAAGTGTAGGAGGACTCACTTCTTATTTTTCTATAGAGAAATTCTGCACTAACATAAATTGTGAAATCGCATTATTTGACAGAATAAAAAGTGACCTTTTCAATATTATCCCAGTCTCATTAGTTCTGATTATTTTCTTAGTGAGATTTATCATTACCTATTTTTATCCATGAAAGCAGGTGTCTTTATGGAATTAGTCTGTTATGGATTTATTTGGGTTTCTTATTTTGATTTGTTTTAAATGTAATTTCAGACCTCATAAACAGTAACCAAACATGTACGTATCTATTTGTCCTATTGCTGTTTTGCTATGCATGGGGTTCATGCATTGTTGTTTTCTCTAACTACCACCCCCTATATACTCTGGAACGATCCTTAAATTTTTGTCCAATTTTCTTTTTTTCCTGTGAGAGCCTATTATTTAGTTATTTAGTAGCTACCAGCAGATGAGAGATTCATTCTTCATTTACTTGACAGTCATTATTCCATGTTAAAAGCCTGAAGATATTTCGTAACCAATAACTAAGGATATTTTAATAAGTGGTTACAAACCTTAATGCAGTGCTCTCTAGCAACTACGTGTCTGCATGGCATATATATCCAATTCCCTGGTTTATCTGCCAATTTTCAGTCACTGTCTTTTTAACTCGAACAGCATGAAATAGCTTTTAGATAGTACCTTAGGTGAGCAGTTTCATTGTGCTCCGATCCTTTTTTCCAGATCAAAATCCATCTCTCTGAGGTAGTTTCTCACTCCATGTCCTTTTCTTGCCACATGGGTATTTCTTTATTGAATAACTTGACAGATAAGAATTAACATGTCCTTTTCTGTATGCTTGTTTGCACAATAAATTACAAATAATCTAGATATTCACTCAAATGATAGCATTTTGATTGTTTTCCTTTAAGTGTCCACATTTCAGCCAGGTACTAATATTAATAACACACTGCCAAAAACCTTTACAAACTGGGTGCCTTCAGAGTCCACCAGCTCTGTAGCTGCTTTCTGCCTTTGTTAAGCTGTCTCCTTCCATTTACACTCCAAATTTGAACTCTGCGGATGTGTATGCTATTTAATTACACAGTGATAGCACACATGAGGCACTAGACGCTGTCAAAATTTGAAGAAAGGCAATCCCTGAAGACACAGTTTGCTATTTCTACTGAATGGCTATTGTTTCTCGCCTAGTTCAGTATTTTTGCTGTCACCACATAAAGGAGTTTTCTGTGCAGTATTTCAATGGGCTCAGCCTGTGCCAACTTGCTCCTTCTAGCCCTGTGTTTTCATGTTGACTTGGATGTGAGTACTTATCTACTTAGAGTAGTCTCGCTACTGCTTTTATTTGTGCCAGCAAAGAGTTTTTCCTATTTCAGCTCCTAGCCTTCCTCCCAGACGAACACATATACTATCTTAAAAGAAAGAAAGAAAAAATGCCAAGAGAAGAGCCAGTGTTTTGCTCCTCAAATGAATCCTAGAAGACAAAGATGAGGAAAAATGCCTAGTTAGTCACTGCATAAAGAAAAAAAATCTGCATCAGCTCTTCTCTGACCTTTTTCTCATTAGTACTTCAGGAATTCACCTTGTTCAACGTGGCACGTCTTCCCAATTACAGATCAGGCCTCCAAAAAGGATACCAAAGTGGCAGGGATACTATGTGAAGCTGGGATTATTCTTATGACCTTGCTCAACTGCTGCAGCCACTGGGTTGAGCACATCCATACAGCGGCGGCAAAATTTTCCATAATCTCTTGGAGTAGATAACAAGAGCTGGGCATGAGACCTCTGGCTTAATAGAGAAGTCTTCTGGTAGAGTTGAGGATCGCAGTAAAATCAGGACAGGGGATTTTTCTCAGTATTTAGGAGATCGTGTCCAAGGTTGTAGTTTGGGTCCAGAGTTAGTACTAATGCAAATCCAGGAGGAATTAACACAGGTCAGGCTATTTTGATCTTGGCTCTCTTGTGACTTCCAAAACACTGGGGTTTGGATTCCAAACATATTCCAGCCTTATAAACACTATTCTCCCTTTCTTTGGCTAAAAATATGCCACTTCCCCTCTGAGCTCCTGTATACTGATGACCATATATATTAATCCATGAACTACGTCAGCTAATAAGCCCTAAATCCTTCAACTGAAAATCAACTCTGAAAACCTAGATTACATCAGCCCAGTTCCAGTGTTCCACTACTTGCAACTACGGGAGTAGGTCTAGCGCAGAGAGAGCAATGAGAACCTGAGCATGAATGCATGTTCGTAACATGAGAAGTGTTCAGAAGCAGGTAAACGGTTCCTTCATAAAACGCTTCCCTCTTTGGGCTCTGATCACAGCTGCTTTTGCAGAAAGTTATGAAGATAAACTAAAAACAAACAAACAAAGAAAAAACAAAACAGAAAACCAAAACACAGTCTTCATTTTAGATGGGAGATGTTCTTTCTCTGAAAAGGATGCCTCCTGGCCAATTACAAACCAGAACAATTTACTGACTTAAAGGCTTCTACATTTGGCCACATGCATTTTTCTTTAGAAATGCAGTGACAATCAATCCAACACGAAAGCCAGACAGACACGTGACTGCCTCTGCCCACTTTAGGTGGAAATTCTCTTTTATTAGAAACTGCAGAGCATGTGTGTGGGCAGGAGGGAGCAGGGCGGAGAGGTTTAGTTCCTGGTTGTCATTCTTTAGGCGTGACCACAATGCTGCAATCTCTGGAACGCAGCTGGACAGAAAGGATGAGCAATGCCCCTGCCTCCCTTGGGGAAATTGGTCTGATGATGCCAGGAGCTGTGATTTCTCTCTCCAGGAATGTTGCCACCTGCAGCAATTAAACCTCCTCTACAATATGATTTAAACAAGAGGATATTTTTCCCCAGAAACTGCCAGATCATTGTTTCCTCCAAGTGCCTCTGACAGGCAAGAAAATTAATGCAATGAGGAGTCCTCAAAATGGGGTACTGTGGATGTCCTGAAAGCAGGTGAGCGATGCTGCGCATAGCTTGACAAAATTAAGTGAGCCTTACAACTCTATCATCAGTTCCCCAGGCATATCCATCAACTAGCATTAAAGGTGATGAAACTATGTCTAATCTCTGTGCTATCATCCACCATCACTGCCTTTGTTGGACAGGAATCAAACCGCATGCGTAAAGCCACCGCTGGATGCATTTTGTCACTCCACATACCATGAGCAGACTTCCCAACAAACTCCAATGGCTTCTGATACATATCAGAAGACAAGAGAACCACTATATAGCCATGGATTTTTTTTTTCCCCAAGGCTTTTTTAAAGCCTTTTAAAGTTGGTTTAGGATCTCCCTCAAAACAAAACCCTTCATGTCAACAGAACTCTTGCTTAGACACGCTTCACCTGTTATTTTTTTATGAATGTAGATGATCAAATAATAACAGCTTTCACAGTTCAGAAAATACATTTACACAGATCACACTTCACCCACAAAAGGTCAGATAATGCAACATGCTCTATGTCAAATACACACCAGACGTACACGTTCCTCTTGAGCACACTGTGATGGGGAGTGGGGATTTTTTTAGGAACGTATTGTCCATCTTTTCAGGACATCCTGCAAAGTGCTTTTGCAAAGCTCTTACCTGTTCAGTGATGAAGGAGCTTGAAAAAGTGACAGCTGACCAAAAGAAGATCCCACAGCTGAGAATGATCTTTCTGTTGAAACGGTCACCAAGGTAACCAAAGATAGGCGCCGCAACCATGAAACTACAGATGAAAACTGCAAAGGAGAGAAAAAGGAAAGAAACATTTCATAAACATCAGGCCAAGAATGTGAAAACTAATTTTCTGCAAGCCAAATCCTCTAGAGAGCAGTTCCACTTAATTAGACATTATGCAGCCCCGACCTGCAAAGTTGTGCAGTCTGATAGTCTTTCGGAAGTCAGTGTTTCCTTAATCAAACAGATTTTTTCATTTCCAGAGAAACTTCAGACCAGTGAACTTGTACTACATTTGAAAGCACCAGCCCCTCACAGTCCGCTGAGAGCTCAGCATCTAGGAACGGGCAAAACCAGGACGGAATAAATTAAGAGCTTCTGCCTAAATGTCACCGAGAAGGTGAAGTGGAGGTTGGAGGGAGTTTCAAGCAAACAGAAAGCAAGTCAAGGGCTCCTTGTTGGCTCTTGCAGCAGAGACCAGAGAGAAACAGGCCATAGAAACTGAAGTTCTTTCATCCTTCCTAGCAGTATTTTAAGGCAACTTTGAAACAGTCAGGAAAACCAGTTAACACTACTATCATCCTACTGGCACCAGCCCTGTAGTTAGAAAGCTCCCATCTCCTCATTAGATCCTTTCTCTAAACTGAACTTGTATTTAAACCCATCACTGAGCAACAATTTCACTAAAAGAAAGAGTTTTAACCTACAAAGCCCTAACAGGTCAGGAAAGTCCTGAAAGACAAGTTCACCTTTCTCCTTTCCTTCCCCCAAAAACCCAAAGCATTAACCCACGACCTTCTGTCATGTAGGAATGAGGCTCTTGATAGAATAACCTCTGCAAAATCTCCTCGACTCCAGAGTTCACCCGTCCAGCCCAGCTCAAAACAACCTGGCCCGTGGCACTGCTGAAAACACCTGAAACGAGACACTTGCACCATATTCACGATCAATTTGGAACTTGGCAGAAATTGCCAGGTTTTAAGCTGATTTATATCTGGCTTTTGTCTGTCCACATTAGAAATTTGGATGAGAGCAACTACATCGATTTTACTGCCGTATAGTATGAACTTTTTGATTTTCACGGACTGTCTTGGGTTCAGCAAACCCAGGAGGATTCGGGTGGGACACTGGAATACCTGGAGATCCCTCTTCAAGCACGGAGTTATGACTGTCATTAATTATTGGGCAGTCCCTGGGAGGCAGGGTGGGCTTTTGGCATGGTCTAACCCCAGCCATCTACTTTTAATTGTATAAAACGGGGTGGGGGGAATAGAACAGGAAAAAAAAAGGCACGAACAGAGGACACACACCCCTTTGGTTGGAATGCACGCAGAAAATTAAAGTGGGTAAGACCCAAATTATGAATTTTTCATGGATGATGATACACAATAGCTCAAAAGCTTGCAGAATGCTGAACTATGAAATGATCTAAATGTCTCTTCTTTTTTAGTATATTAAGATGTCAAAGCTGCTTTATAAATAATACATATCCATTTGCATCTGTATTTTGTGAGCCATATGATTGTGTGTATATCAATTTTGCACTGTGATATTTGATCAGAATTACAGATTTACTCTTTTTACATTTAGAGTAAAATAAATGGAGATAAAACAGAAATGTTAAGACATGAAAAGAAGCACATGCAACATTACATCGCATATTTCAATAGTAATGCTATGAACACCGCTGCTGTTAAGCTAGCACATAAAACCTATTGATAGACAGAAGGCTCAGTCCCTGCATCCATCCCCAAATCCTTGTGCAAACGAAACCTGGTGAATACAACTATGAGCACTTACGCAGTGTTCTCATTGCCTGTGTTTTACAGAGAAACTACACAGCTAGTCTGAAACCCAGCCTAGCACTTTGTCCCCAAGGAACCAGTCCCCGTGGGAGCCTGTGGGGCTGATACCTTTTAGGAATATCAGGCAGCACTGCTGCCCCTTCCCTGTAGCACCAACCCTCCCGGTGCAGAGCCCGGCTTTGCTAGGCAGGGCCGTTGCATGTCTCCGGCACAGGTCTCTGCTCACGCAGGCTCCCACCTCCTGCTCAGTTGGTGCAACGCGATGCTTGGTGTAGCCCAAGAGCCCCACCGTTCTGCTGACCCTGGCTCCCTGCTTAGTCGCAGGACAGGGACTGCCTGGGTAAATGCTCTCTTTCCCACGCAGGGGCATCTTGTCATGCTCGCCCACCCCTGCAGCACAGTCCTGAAACCCTTGATCTCCAGTGAACTTGGCTCTAGTAGACCAGAAGTGGCTTACAAATCTCTACTCTGCAAGGGTACATCTGCACTGGCCCCAGTCCAACAAGGCACTTAAGCACATGCTTATATTAAGCACTTCAGAGTCATCAATTCCATGATTAAGTGCTTTCCTGAATTAACACCAAAGTGCTCAGCACCTTGCAAAGCTGGTGCAGCAACCTGGCACAAAGGATATGTGATTGTTTATTGGGAATGAGAAGCAGAAAATGACTCTGACTCGTACAGAGCAGCGTGCCCATTACAATTTGACCTTACCCTTGGAAGGACACTGAAATTCATTCATCTCAGGATCACATATTCTGCCATTTTTATGATGTAAAAAGACATGAAGCAAAAAAAGCTTCCAAGGGAAAATTAGAAACATTCAAGTCAGCATCCCACCATTTCAAATATCGAATAACCTGATTAATTCAACTTTAAGACACGGAGGGTGTGATCCAAAATTCACATTAATCAGTGGGATTATCAGCTTCAATGACCTCTGGATCATAAACGCAAAGTCTAATTCTGGAATTTGGGCAAAAGCAGGCAAAAAGCACAAACCTCCTCTTTCCAATAAAAAAAAAAAAACGAAAAAAAGATCGTCCAATGCTTTTCCAAAAACATACGTCCTGCTGTTACTCAAATCCCTTCAAAGAATTTATTTTTGGAAGATTCTGAACTGAGCTGTGAGCTTTGTCACCAGTAAGCAGCTGACTTGACAGCTCCACAAGGTGTAAAATGAAAGGACAACAGAACCTAATAAATAATAGGTAATGAAACACAGCTGTCATAATAATAAATGCAATTTATATCAGAGTATTTATGACCCAAATATGCATCAGAGCATTGATTGACTCAAATAAATGCAGAGTATGATGGCTGTGTGGTCTGTCAAAAGGATCTGCCTGTTACAGGCGTTTCCTATGAATCAATTTTTGCAATTACTCCTGCAAATGACAGACAAGACTCCTGAACAACAGACTGGGTTGGCAGCATAGAGGTGGATGAATCCAGGGCACGTTACCAGGTGGGATGGAAACCCGAGGTACTCTAGACCAGGAGCTGAGGTTCTGTGACAACTAAACACCATGAAGGAGAGATCATCTCCGGAAGACAGAAAACTGCCAGCACATTCAGATGGAGAGAGGGGCAGCACAAAATGATTAATTTGTAGAGAAAGATGGGTGCAGCATAACGCAGAGGGATGCATTCCAGTAAAGGAGCCTGGCACTTGTGCCAGCCTCTTCCTATCTGGCTCCTCTCCCCTCTTCCCCAGCATTTTCTGCTCCTTGCACTCACCCACTCCCCAATGAATATCCAAGTGACACCACAGCAGCTGCGGTTTCGGCTCAACCCACTGCCACAAATCTTTTATATTGGGAGAGCGCTGTGACAGAGGCTGGCATTTCATTTGCCTCTTCCAAATCAACTGCTCTTCTTCCCATTTACACTTAAAGCCATGTCAGAATATTACCAGCTCTTGAGAAGATGCACAGGGCAAGCCAGGGCAGAGTTAGGAATCCATTGGGATTGGGGATGAACTACTGAAAAGGTAGCAATCGCGTTTGGAGCAGCGGTGGGCAGTATAGCTATGTCAGTCGCCATGATGGATGCTGCACAGCTAATTTCTCTTGGTAAACGATCTGCGGCAGTGCCAGCAGAAGTGGCTCAGTCCCAGCACTGGGTGGAGCCGAGATACATTTCTGCAGGAGCAAATTATCATGTGAGCAAAGGATGAATAAACAGACACATAATGAATGCCATCCCAGGAGGGAGGTTCTTTTAAGTACAGGTATTTTCAAAAGGCGATCCCATTTGTCTTTATGCCTCCCTTTGTGGCTTAGCCGCTGAAATGCCGATTGTGGTGACAATGCAGGAAGAGTGTAATTGCCCAAACAGGACGGCTGGGTGTCTATTTCTGCCTCTGAATGCCTGTCCCACCCTGTACAGGTGCACAAGCACCTTCGCAGCCAGCACTGCCTGACTTTTTCTGTGCATGGCTGGAATTACAAAAATGCGCAGCATAAAAAAAAAACAACCACAAAATCTTACACTTCCCACCCAAACACCCACCAGAGAAGGAAAGCATCCTCCCCAGCCTCTACTGCCTACTTCATGTACTGCAGCTTCAGTCACCTTTCAGGGATTACGGCCAGGGAGCTGCTGTTCAGCCCACACTTTCCCCTCTCATGAGCTGTCTGCGTACCCCGTGGAAAAGTAAACCCCCAGACAGTGGAAGCACAGGAGATGAGGGGAGAGGGAGGCACTGCAGACTTTATATTTAACAGTCAGAAAAAGCTCCTGCCTGCTGGAACTGGACTTCATTGCTCTAATTTTTCTCTTCTTTCCCTCCAAACAAAAATTTACCAGCTTGACTCTACAACTGTTCCCTGAAATGGCTCTGACCCATCAGCTTTCCATCCCTTGATTGCAAAGACACCGTCGCCTCTGTCTCACTTGCTCTTCTCTTGCGTGGACTGATCAACCCTTTGTATCTCAGAGAGGGGCTTCTCCTGCCAGCGGGTCGTCCACGTAGCATAACTGAGAAGGAAGAGAGGCACTGACAGGGAGGCACATGCAGAGGCTGCATGTCCTCTGTTACTGGAAGCTTGAGAGGATCACAGGCATTTCAAAGAAAAGATCCCTTCTTTCAGTTTTGACTGCAAGCACACAGGGTTTATTTTCTCCTATCAGGAATAATGCTAGAAGAGTTCAGGTTCTGGTAAAAATAGCTCGCTCGCTCTATGCAGGGATGCTCGACAAGAAAAAAAATAGTGGCTACCTTTGAGCTCTGAGTCAGCATGAAACTGTATATA